AAAAAAATTAAAAATAAAGTGGTCTTATAATTTTGGCCACCACTGTAGTAAAGATTAAGGTGATCGCTTACTGTCGAATTCAGAAAATTCTTTGTAAAGATGAGACGCATACGAATATAAAATAATTTCAAATAGGTCAATGTGTGTTTTCATGTTTGTGAAAATGTATTTTTTGTTTTCTTTATTTTTGATTATTATTTCAATACTTTCAAGTCAAGTATTCATCATTGTATATGAAATCTACTGTCTGTTAAAAAAAAAACTGGCCGTGAGTATTTTTGCAATAACTCGATAATGGTAACAGCTAGCGATCTGCGGCTTCCACCAACTAAAAGAGTAGAAATTGGAACATCTTTTTCTTCAATAATGTAGAAGACGAAATCCTTTTAAAAGTAATCATTTTCGAAAAAATTTTTCAATTTTTATAGTTATATATTAATTCTTTAAATATATTCGGTTGATAGAGGATCCTTTGAAGTGTACTCAAAAAATCTAAAACTTTTTGATTAGAAAAGTTTTGTTCTTATAATGAAAAATAATAATTAACCTATTGGTATTTGATGATATTGAAAATCTTGTTTTGTTGAAACAAGTCTTCTAACATGTTGAATAGGTTTTTGTTGTTGATGTAATTCATTTAATAAATTATTTAAAATTATTGTTAAATTTTTTAATTTATATTCTATTAATGATATATTTAATGCAAATAAATTTTGTTCTTTTGATAAACGTAAAATTAAATTATTTAATATTTGATTTGTATTTTGTATAGGTAATGATGAATTTTTTATATTAAATAATTCTTTTTCTAAATCATATAATTTTATTCGTTGATTATTATAATAATTAATCATTTCTTCAATAACAATATCAGTTATTTCACCTTTTAAACTTGTCATATAATTTAACATTGTTTTTCGTACTTCTTCTTGTACAAATTCACGACGACGTAAACGTGAATGAATTTTATTATGTATATTTAAATTTGAATGTAAATGTATAGATGGAATTGAATCCACTATTAAAATAATAAAACAAATTAATATGGCAAATGAAATTTTATGCATATTTTAATCTAAAAAAAAGACAAACAAATTTTGTCATCATTCTAAACGGAATAGGAAAAACTTCCTTTTAAGGAAACCCTCCTCCTTTTCGAGAATATATCTGAAGAAGTTTCTTTGTTAGTACACACATGCTTCCAGAGAGAATAATCTTACACAGTAGAATTTTTGTATCATCATTATCAATATTTCTCTTCTCTATATATATCAACGTCGAAAAAGAAAAGAACAATAGAAAAGCAATTTATCATTGAATATACACTCTACAGAAAAAAAAATATAATTGTCTATATCTGTAATAATCAAACCTTGTATTCGATATATCTTCATATACATTTCCTGTTGTATATTGTATCATTGAATAGAATGAATGAGTTATTCGTCGGCATGAAAAGAAAGAAAATAGCATGTTCATTCAAATCGATACTACTAAATAGAAACACGTGTAGATCAACGGGAAAAATGATAGGACTATCAAAGAAGATACCGCATTTGTTCACTAACGAACTTTCTAGCTTTTCTATGCATCAGACACGCCTTCATTCTCTCTATATAGATATTGTTTTTTTTTTTTATAAAAGAAGAAGCTGTTCTATTTCATTGTATAAACAAACGTAGAAAGTTAACCGTTTTATTATTTTTTCCTTCAAAGCTTAATTTTCAAAATAATTGGTTTGTCTAATAGATATACTGTATATTAGTTAGTTCATTATCAAAAAGGACATATTCAATTGTATCTATCTTCTAATAATAATGAACATCTGTTTGACTAATGCATCCGAATGTTTGTTTGATTTTTTTTTCTCCGAAATGGAAGAGAAAATGAATGTCATGTTAAAACAATAAAATATCTATTCTACCTGATGAACAAAAATTAAGTTTGATTATCTTGTTTTTTTTCTCTTTTCAAATGATAGATGACCGTTAGATTGGAATATTTATTTTTCATATCCAGATGCTTTAATTATGTCGATGGAACAACCTTTATAAGAAGCAATATAAATGATCGATAAGATCATTCTATAATTGTGTTTGAATCAATATTTCATAGAATAAAAAGTTCAATCATTTGAAAATAATGATGTATAAATAGTTCAAAAACTAAAATGATCGATATGATGAAAAGTTGAAAAATTATGATCATTCATTTTTATAATTTTCAACATATTACTTCTAGTGATTTATTTCAAGGCAATTGATTGACATGATCAAATGAAGTTAATGGAATGCACATGTTTCCTTCTCCTCACTATATGAACAAATCAACAATAAGCATATGTTTTCTTTTATAGAAAATGAATGTAGTTAAGTACTAACCACCCATTGGCAATGTAATATTACAAGTGTTTGTTCAAATTGAATATAAACAATCGATTTATCTACTGGAAGAAGAATATTTTATATATAGAATAACAGATGTTAGTTGAAATCATAGAATTTATTTATTCTTTTTGCATCAGATTACAAGAATCACTTCTACGAATTTTCTTGATTTGAATATGTCAGATTTTTTTTGTCCGGTTCTATTTAAATATGGAGATCATTCAGTTTAGTACATGATATTTCGTCTTAATTTGTAACCATTCGGATTGAATTCGAATCCGGAATGAATTTATCAGCAATGATAAGAAATAGAAGAAGACGAAGAACGTAAAGCAAGAAAGTTAAAAATGACTAACGAATGATCCAATGCATTCAGAACATAGACGAGATTCTGAAATAACAATTATTTTCGCTTGTTTTCTTTTATCAAGAATCAATTGATATTCGATATGTATACTTTAAAATAATATGCATCTTCGTCTTATGTTAAAAAAAAAGTCAATTTCATATCATTGGATCGAAATACTCGATTTTCAAGTCTGTTTAGCATGTAGTGACACTTCAAAACAGTTTTTTCTTTATGAATAGTGACTGTGAATACATTTTTATTAGTGATGAAAAAAAAAAAATGTTTATTAATATCCACCTTGATCTTTAAAAACACGTTCAATGTCTGCATTATGTAGATTAAGTGGTGGTAACCATTGTGGTTTATTTGTTTGTAACCATTTCCAAAGAACATCAGAAACAGTTGCATGTCCATATTGATTTATATGAAAACCATCAACACTTTCAATTAATTGCCATGGTTCACCACCTTGTGCTACCCATTCTTGAATAACATCATTAAATGGAAAATCAAGATATTCAATATCATATTGCATAGGTTTATAAGTATATGTTACATTTCGTACGGCTGCAGATAATTCCATAGCTCGTTGTGTAGTTAATGCACGAAGTGTAGCATTTGATGTCATCCATCCATTACATGGTGAAATTTGTAAACAAGATAAATAATCATAGATTTGTGAATAAGAAATTGGTGTACCAACACGACCAAATGGATGAATACGATCATGTAATAAGTCATATAAAAGACTACCATTAGCTAAACCAGTTGTTAATACATGACTACCTTTTGGTAAGACTGTATCAAGATATTCAAGTGTAGTTAAAACATTTTTTTTCATTTCTTCTACAGTAGTCATATGATCGATTGTATCTGGATGACCATTACAAACATCATTACCAACTAATGAATACATGACTAAAAGTGGTACATCATTTTTTGGACTACGTGATAATGATTTCATAATATCAAGCATAGAACCACTACGAGCTCCATTAACAGCAATATTTTGATAATCACGATGATTACAATGATCAAGTTCAAACAAACGAGCATACACTGAACGAGTTGGACCTAGATATAAGTAGTTTAGTATATTAACAATATAAATTTATAAATATTATTTACCATCAATATTTGGCCAACTAACATTTATATGACCTGTAGTACCTGATAATTGAGGCCAATCAAGTTCATTTTCAAGAATAAATGTTAAATGTTCAAATACAGTTGCAGATAATTGTTTAGCATCTAACCATTGTTCCGGAATATGAAAATGAGCAGATATTGAATCACCTAATACTGCTATACCCATACGTTGTGTTTCATTACAAAGTTCTTCTTCCCATGGTTTTCCACTTGTTGGATTCATACCATATATACCATTACAATTATGATCTACAACAGAATCACCATTAAGAACTTGAGCACCAGGACGACTTGATGATGAAAAATCATTACAATCTTTTCCACGCCATGAACTACCACGAAGTGTTGGTTCTGTACCAAATCTATCTTGATCAAAATCAATTGCTGGCTTATGATTATTGAAGATATTTTCTAGAATTTTACAAATTTCTTTTATGCCAGGAATTTCACAAATTTTTGGATCATTTATATGTAAATCAATTAATGGATGTCGTTGACGAAAATTTAAAACACGTTCAGTAAATAAAATTGGAGATTTTGATGGATAAAGACGACATTTACCTTGATCAGGTTCATCTTTACAAAATTTTAATGAATGACAAATAACATCAGGATTATCTCCTTTAATAAAACCATCAATAATATATGGACCTAGAATTATAGATCATATATTCGATATTTATGAATTCAATAGAACAATATCAACTTACCTAAAAAGTCAACAGCAGCTAAACAATAAACTTTGTATTCAGATGGTAAAAATGAGCAAAGTTGTTCAAGTGCATGAGTAGCACTTTCATTATAAACAATTGTAAGATGATCAACAATTCCCAAAAGTACTGAACAAGTTGCACAATCTACACCACCATTGACACCATTCCTTAAATTACTAGTTAAACGATTTTCTACTAATGGTACACAGACGATCAGTAATAAACCAATCCAACTGATAATTATTTTTAACATTGTTCGTATTCTTCACAACTGAAAATAATCGTATAAATTATTACACACAAATATACACACCTTTGAAGAATATTAATTGTTACGAAACAGAATATATGGAATAGCGACTAAATTATTTTTAGGTCTACATCGACTAGATTATTATCATCAATAAGAAAAAAATCAGAAGAGAATTTGTGATAACAAGTAGCGCTCATCGTACGGATTCGCTTACCCTTTTCTGAAAGAATAGCACTACGCTCTGAGATTAAAAAACTAGTAAATATCGTATAGGACGACACTACTGGTTATTCTGAAAACCATATTTAGTTTTCTTGTTCGATTCCATGACAAGTGTTTCCCATAGAGAGCAGACCATCAGGATTTAAAGTATCGGGTGGGTACATGTTGAACAACTTACTCACTCACTCATAGCAACTCATGCTTCTAATGACATTATATTCGTGCTAAGACATTTTCACTCTAGTGAAGATGTTCGAGAACGAATATAATGATTATAGGCATTTAACTTGACGATGAGCACAGAGCAAAGAGAAAGTTTTCTTCTAACATTGGAAACAAGACATTTATGTTGCAGTTTCTTATCATCATGTTATCTTTGCTCCGATGCATGTTTGTCTTTTATCATTAGCAAACACCATCTCAAAGGTGGACTTTGCTCGTCTTATGCTCTTGATAAAATAGAGCATGATGAAAAATGATCTACCTGGCTACACAACAACTGAGTCATACTTTGTCCTTGGTGTTTTTGACTGCTCGTAGGGTGTGCTCTACTTTTTGCAACTACACTTTTTTTTACAGCCACGGAATTGGGACAGAAAGGTTTAGATAACGGAGGCAAATCAAAATGACAGAAAAAAATAGATAAAACACTAAATTTTCGTTTCAGTGGCACATGAGTACATCAGATAAATTTGTAATTTGCTCGACAAATTCTAAATCTATAGGGATGAAATTTTCAGGATAAGTCCGGTAATCGAACATCTATCTGTAATATACAATATCAGCCCTAAAGATAATTCTGAGAAGGATTAATGAAAAAAAACACAGTGTTCCACTTATTTTGGCCAGGGAGATATATCTCTCAAAACTTTCTGCAAAAAACATTTTCTATATGAACATCACAGACTATCTCCGAGTCGGTCGTCGGCGTCCCTTCGCAGCGCCACTCCCGACTCATCACTTCCGTGTTTCCTACTTCCATTTTTTACAAATCACTCACTTAAGCACATCCTAACTTTCTCGCATAAAATCTGACTGAGAAATGGTATCTCGACGTTAAACACAATTCGTTCGCTTCGTATTAGAAGCATTCTGCGATGATAGTAAACCTGAATATAAAAACAATTTCCGTATTGTTTTTTTTACCTTCCACGATCTGTAATCAAGTCTCATTTCACAAAGCATCGATTTTAATCTTTCCCTGGTCATTACTGTACGTAATGTGTCATTTGATGTTAACCAACCATTACATGGTGCAGTTTGTAAACAAGATAAATATGTATAGATTTGTTTATATGTAAATTGTATACCAACACGGCTAAATGGATGAATACGATCATGTAATAATTGATATAAAACACTACCACTAGCTAAACCAGTTGTTAATACATGACTACCTTTTGGTAATATTGTATCAAGATAAGTTAATCCATTTAATATATTTAAATACATTTCTTCAACAGTTGTCATATCATCCAATGTATTTGGATGACCATTACAAACATCATTACCAACTAATGAATAGATTACAAGTAATAGTACATCATTTATTGGATTACGTCTTAATGTTTTAGCTATATCAAGAATAGATTTACTATCAGCTCCATTAACAGCAATATTCTGATAATCACGATGATTACAATGATCAAGATCAAATAAACGTGTTGAACCTAAATATAAACATATGAATATGTTAACAATATAAATTTATCAATATTATTTACCATCAATATTTGGCCAACTAACATTTATATGACCTGTAACTGCTGATAATTGAGGCCAATCAAGTTCATTTTCAAGAATGAACATAACATGTTCAAATGCTTCTGATGAAAATAGACTAGCATCTAACCATTGTTCTGGAAGATGAAAACGAGCAGATATTGAATCACCTAATACTGCTATACCCATACGTTGTGTTTCATTACAAAATTCTTCTCCCCATGGTCTTCCAGTTGCTGAATTAATACCATATATACCATTACAATTATGATCTATAATAGCATCACCTTGAACAATTCGAGCACCAGGACGACTTGATGATGAAAAATCATTACAATCTTTTCCACGCCATGAACTACCACGAAGTGTTGGTTCTGTACCAAATCTATCTTGATCAAAATCAACTGATGGTTTATGATTATTGAAGATATTTTCTAGAATTTTACAAATTTCTTTTATGCCATGAACTTAACAAATTTTTGACGTTGATAAATCATATGAAGGTTGTGAATGTTGTTGATGAAGATTTAAAACATATTGAGTAAATAAAATTGGAGATTTTGATGGAGAAAGACGACATTTAGCTTGACCAGGATCATCTGTACAAAATTTTAATGCGTGACAAATAATATCAGGACTATCTTCTTTCATAAAACCATCAATAATAATTGGTCCTAAAGATTTTATTTACATTCTTCATTCATTGAAATTATCCTATTAACTTACCCAAAAAATCAACCGCTACTTTACAATAAATTCTTAGATTAGTTGGTAAAACATTACAAAGTCGTTCAAGAGAATTTACAATACTTTCATTATGGACAATAGATCATTTTTCAACAAGACCAACAATAATAGTGCAACTAGCACAATCTGAACCACCATCAATACTTTTAATGCTTAGCCCATTAATAACCGGTAATAAAATAGTAAACATTAAAAAAATCCATTCTAAACTGGCTTTCATCATTCTTACAATTATACTCTTTAACTGAAATACTTCACATGCATATATTTTACAGATGAATGGGAGTACAAACATATGGATCAGTATTATTTTTATAGTTTGTCTTTATTGATCGAATAAAAACCTTGAGAAAAAAAAATTCAAGTAGATGAAGAAACGTCGTTTTATAGAATTAGACATGCAACGATGACTGTGTATCGTTCTTACACGTATAGACTAACGATAAACGCATGATAAAACTCTGATGGATTTCGATCTGTCAAAATCATTTCAAGAAAATAGCTTTATTTTATAAAACATGACTAAATCATGGGAATTAATGCAAGAATCTCTCCAGATGTCAAATCACTTTTCGACCGAGTCGATCTTTATTTGATGAGTACTACAGATACCCACATTTTACAATAGTACTTTGGTGTCAAATTCAGGGTGAAAGTTTAATTTTGGTGTTTTTTAATCTTTCATATTTGTTTCTACACAAGAAAAGATATTTATCATGTATTGTAACTACGGGTGTATAGAGCCGGCTAACACTATTTCAAAAAGTAAAAGCCATTAGTAAATATAAATAATCATTCATTTCACGTATAACTATCTCTTGTCTTATTTGAATTTTTTTAATTTATTATTACATATTTATTATATTTTTACTAGTCTATTAGACACTCGCACACAATAGCTATTATTTGCCAATAGCGATTTAATTAATTGTTTTTAACTGCTGTATTATAATTAAAAAATGAATATTGATCCTGACAATGGTAGTGATGGGTATTGGATCTTCTTCATCACATCCACACCTACACCCTATAAATCAATTGTTATTTATATAAAATATATAAATTTGCAAAAATTTACGTCACACTTTTCTTCTCCTCACATATTTTCTTTTAATCTTTTTATGACTATAGTTCAATGATATGTTACTAATATTATACCATTATATAGCTCATAGTGTTCCCTAATCAACATATAAATATGGTGATAAAATAGTGGAAAATCATTTCAGAAGAAGTGAACAAACAATACCTCTTTCAACCTGAATTTAAGACTAAAGTACTATACATTTTTCAATACAAAAAAACCTGTAGTTCTCTTCAGGTCACTTGAAGAATTGATTTTTGATTACAAATCTTGCACAAACAAAGTTTTTGAATGAGATTAGTTAATTAGGCAACTTTTAGCTTAACCCTTTATCCGCCATGGCGGTTCTAGAAGAGCCATCAATAAAATAACTATATAAACAGAGGGTTAATCCTGTGATGGAACGACATATTAAGCGTTGATTTGTTTTTCTTTGATCGCATTATTGAATGAGCAAAATTAACATTTATTCTATCTTATTCGAATAATGGAAAGTGGAAGAAATAAACCGATAAAAATTAATATCGAAAGAATGCATGTATTTTTAGCACATTTTCTTAAATAGGCATCTACCTTGCTTTGAGCCGTTTTATAACTTCTGAAGATATTTAATTCAAAATAAATACTCTTCTAACTTCTTATGAGCTGAGATTTATAATACATATATTACCATTCCTCTTAATTGCCCTAAAGATGCCTCATAACGATTCCTTGGTCAGTTATGTGCGTTAGTGTGTGTAATTGACCAGCTTATCGCGATGCATTCGAAACATATCTAACTTCTTAGTAGATACTTTGATCAATTTATATAACATAGAAATCCCAAAAGATCTTTATTTACTGTTAGTAGAGAACAATTGATTTCGAAAAATTCGATTTTTTACAAAATTATCGATTTATTTTTACCAAGCGATAGCTCATAAAGTTCATTACAAAAAAACGTTCTTATCATTTTCAAATTCCATACTCCCATTATTTTCTGCAATCATTTTTACAGCCAATGGGGAGGGTAAAGGGTTAAACTAAAGAAGCCACAACTTTTTGTTGAAAAATCGAGTAAAATTTCGATATATCTCAAGAACAAAGGTCCGGAAAAATCAGACTATGCGGGTATTTATCAAATAAATATTGTCTCGGTTGAAAAAGTGATTTAATATCTGAAGAGATTCTCTCGTTATTTCTTACAATTTAATCATGTTTTACAAAAAAAATTCGAAAGACATTTTAAGATCATCATTATTCTATACGTGCATATCTAAATCGATAATCATTGATATTATCGTATATATAGAATCATTAAAATTGTAATATTGTAGTTATTTTTTTATTCTTTCATAAAACAAAATATATGCCATAGAAGTAAATACTTCAAGTTCACTACATTCTCGAATATGATCGTCTGATATTGAAAGCCATTCATTACTATTTATTCGTCGTCGATAGACAATAAAATGTCCAGCTTCACTAATACCACCTAAATGTACAAGTATAGAATTAAGTTTATAATGAGCTGTTGATGGTTTTTTAATTGTTTGAGTTGGATGTATATTAGCAGGTAAAAGACGTGATAATGATATAAATGAATTCATATCAAGTAGATCAGGAAATGATATATGACAAGTATTTTTTATTGGCCAACCTTCATTTGTCCATGTTGTACGAATAATATGTAAACAAAGAATTTCTGGTAACTAAAAAAAAACAAAATCAAAATATTATTCAATTAATATATAATAATATTTTACTCTTGAAAAAGTTGTTATTTTTCTATGTGGTAAATTTTCTTTTGATTTACATTTATTACATATTAAATTACTAATCATTTCTGATTTAAGATAATTACCAATTAATTCTTGTAATGTAAAATTTCGTTGTTGTTGTCGAATTGAAAATAACTATTTATAAAAATAAGAAATATAAAATATATAAAAAAAAAATCTATACTCCTGAATTTGATACTTGTCGTTCAGGAATTATTAATGATAGTGTTTCAAAAAGAGAAACACTTACTGGATTCTATAATAAAAACAAAAAAAAAACTTAAAAACAAAAACAACGAATTTAAAAATTTCTTTACTTTATGTTTACATTCTGTACATTGTAATTGTGTTGCTTGTAAACCTTGAAATGGATGTGGATTTATTAATGGACTTTCATTTATCATTATTGTTTTTGATATATCTTGTTCATCTGTATCAAGACATGCAGCAAAACCTAATTGTTTTGTTTGAATTATTTGTGTACTTGTTAATGAATTAATAAGTGATAAAAGAAATTCATGACTATCTTGTTGTTCAAATGGACTTAACCATTTTGGTTGTCGCATATTATCAATTAATGTTACAACAGTTGATTCATGTGAATAAGATAATGATTGACCATTTATAGTTTTAATAAGATCAAGAAGAATTTTAGCAAGTGTATTATTTTGAAGATGTTCTTCAACCCATCGAATAAATATTGATGATGATGCTAAACATTGAACAATAGCATTAGCAAAACAATTATTTCCATAATTAATTAAACCACCGGGATAACCTAATGAAATTGAAATAGAAAGAATTTTCTTTTTTAAATTAATATATATATATAAAACAAACCACGTTTTCTTCTATCTTCTGGTTCAGGTCCAAATAAAACATAAGCACCAATTGCTGTTAAAATACTAACACTAATTATAACTGGTGATGAAAATGAAATAGGTAATGTTAACATTATTTTGATTTATTGAGAACAACTCAATAGAATAAATGAATGTATCTAATAAACTATGATTAAGTTGACACTTGAGAATACCTATTATAACTACTAACTATAGATGTCAGTATTAACAATCATAACGATGAAATTTCAGATCAAAATTCAATAAGAAACCAGTTTTTATTAGAACACAATGTAGTATGTAGAGGTAAAAAATTAATTGGAATCGAACAGGAGACACAGTGACGCAACCAGGATATTTCAGTATGCTGAATCTCGACTTCCGAGCATGAGATCCAGATGAAACTCATGGAGTGTGATGTTGGATCAAGGGGGAAACAGCTAAAATTAGATTTCTTTTATTTTTTTTATTTAAATCAATTGATTTTAAATCAAAAAAATAAAAAAATAAATCAGAAAAATCAGAAGAATCAAAAAAAAATCAGAAAAATCAATAAATTCAGAAAAATCAAAAAAATCAAAGAAAATCAGAAAAATCAAAAAAAATCTGATTTCAGCTGATTTCACTCTTGATTGATGTTTTTAAACAAAAGAAATTAAAAATTTTCTGATTTTTTTGATTTAGCTGATTAAACTGATTAAACTGATTTTTTTGATTTAAAATTGATTAAAATCAGCTGTTTCTCCCTTGTGTTGGATCCAAATGATGGAATTTTACCAAAAAAATTAGCATTTTCCTGATCTTTCCTAGAATTTTTTTTTGTTGTTAGTAGTATCCTGATTTTTAGAACTTGATAGGAAGTTACACTGAATTTCATCTAAAAATGCACAACCGTTCAAGAGTTATAACATTTTGAGCTTTTGCAAAAAGTTGTTTCCACATGTAGCGAAAATTTCAAAACGTTATAGCTCTTGAACTGTTGCGTATTTTTAGATAAAATTTGAAATCTGTCGATGAAATTCAGTGTAGCTTTCTATCAAATTCTAAAAATCAGGATACTACTAACAGCAAAAATAAATTCTGGGAGGGATCAGGAAAGCGCTAATTTTTTTGGTAAAATTCCATCATTTGGATCCAACATCATCCTCCTTCAGTTTCATCTGGGTCTCATGCTCGGAAGTCGAGATTCAGCATACTGAAAAATCCTAGGTGCATCACTAAAGGGACAGCTGAGGAGGACCTCTCGTAAGTCAAGTTATAAAACGAGCTATTCTTTAACACAATTGTTATTCAATCATAAAAATATAAATATTATACGGACTGTGCAAAAATTGTGAGACACTAAAGAATTACTTTTCAGAATTTCATATTAGATTCAAATTAAACTTTATATAGGTAGTTAGTATAGTTATTAAAGAAGGTTTTATATTATACTATACAGACACAAAACTTTGTTGTTTTAATATTAAAAACAAAAAATCTCCAGGGGCAAAAAAGTTTTAGGACAGTTTAAATTTTTTTACGAATAAAGCCAGATTAGGAAGGATTTAAAAAATTATCAAAACGTATATTTTAGGCAGTGATAGACAATTCTGAAATCAAATATTCATGTAAATGATTATTGTATATCATTGAGCATGGTGTTTTTTTTTCCAGTCTTCTGTTACTTCTTACTATTCCTTTCGTTTTCGATACATGTTTTTTTTTCTTTCTGAACATTTTCCGTTTTCTCTCTTGTCAGATAAATTTGTTTCTGTTTTTCCTCGTGAATATTTCCGCATGTGATAGTTAGTCTATTATATACAGATCAGATCAGCAATGAATTTTAACAATATCGTGTTTTTATATAATTAAAACTCGACTAAACATAATGATATGCCGCAAAAATTTCAACGTGACTATCAACGAACTCAATGAGTTACATTGAGAAAAGCTGGTATGACTTACTGTAAAATTAACACTATTTTTAATATGTCCAAATCATCTGTTCAATGTGCTGTAAAAGCATTTTGAAGAAAAAAGTGACTTTTATGACCATCAACGTAATGGTAGACCAAAAAAAAAACTACACGATCGAAACGTCCGTATGTTGAAATATTTAGTACAAACTGATAATCGTTATTCTGCACGAGAAATAATGCTTAACTTAAATAATTCGTTAGAAAGTTCAATTTCTAAAAGAACAGTTATAAATTATCTTCATCAATGTGGCTATGACTATAGAATTAAAATCTCAAAGCCATTTCTTAACAAAAATGATTAAAAAAAAAAGCTAGACTTGATTGATGTTTAGAATATTCCAATTGAACTATTAATAAATGGAAACATGTAATATTCAGCGACGAATCAACATATTACAAAATAAAACGTAAAAATGAAACTAAAATATGACGTACACAAGATGAACGATGGAAAGAAGATGATACGCAAATGCAGCAACGGGACGTGATGATCGTGTTGAATTTCGAGGTTGTATTACCTGCAAAAGAACTGGTTGTTTTTAGATTTACAGTAAGAATACCAATAGTAATGTTTATTGTAATGTTTTAGAAAATTATTTGATTCCGACAGTATAACTGTATCAAATGGAGAATAACTATTTTTATCAACATGATAATGCACGATACCCATGTATCAAGAAAAACTCAAAGGAAACTACACGAATTAGATGTTTAGCAACTGAATGGTTATCAATCAAATCAGAATATATTTTTTCTCATGTTTTTAATATATGTCCCAGAACTTTTTGCCCATGGAGATTTTTTCTTCTTTTCATTTCTTTATATTAAAATAACAAGTTTTTGCGTCTGTTTAGCATAAGATGAAACCTTCTTTCATAACTATACTAATCATTTATATAAAGTTTAATTCAAATGTAATATGAAATTTTGGAAAGTAATTCTTTGGTGTCCTAGAATTTTTTATGCACGACCTGTACATCGATTTTAAGATAAGCACATTTCTTTCCAAAAATAAATTTGACTACTTTATATGTAACGTGTTTAAGAATATCCTGTCCTGTTTTTTGACCATTTCTGATTATCGAAGAGGGTACAACCGATCCGCATGAAATTCTTACCACAGATAGAGCACATAAAATAGGAAGATACGTGTTCGGGAAAAAAATTTTAAATAAGATTTCCGCAGTTTTTCGGAAAATCCTGGGTTTCTATTGGATCTGCTTACGACCTTCCTTCCTGCTAACTTTATTCGAACGGACTGAAACTTGGGAAATATTCTCCAAAGGTAAAATCGGTCGTTTTCGTAGATTTATAGAGCCCTGAACGTCAACACTCCAGTTTTGGATCTGAACCTATACATACTCTTTTTGTAAAAAAAAACCGAAAGTGAAGTTTTAGAAAAAACTTAGAATCATCTCTCCGATATAGCCTAAGATATCTCCAAAATAATTTTCAGCCCGACGGGACAAAGTTAAATAGCGGTCGTAAGCAGGTACGATGTAGTTCGAAACGAATCGCGAGAACCTTGTTTGAATTTTTGTTTCTCGAACATGTGTCACCTTATTTTTGAGTGCTCTATCTGTGATACAAATTTTATGTGGATCGATGGTACTCTCTTTGGTAACCAAAAATGGTCAAAAAAAGACGAGACTACTCTTAAGAGTTCCCCCTCTGACTCTCTTTTTTTAATATCTCAAACGCCTAGATGAACTAAAATGATTTGTTTTTAATCATATTACAGTTCATAGTCTCTAGTGTGTTATTAAAAATTTTCAAGTCATTGTATTAATCTATTTAATTTTTATTCATGATACAATCGTAGCATGTCATTTTTCATCTTTTCAAACTATTGTGGGTCTGTTCTAACTTGAACTTTTCTTTGTAATAGATCCTTCAATAGAATAAATTGTGCTCTGTATAACGAATAAGAGCATTATAAATTGCAGTGTAATATCTACGCAGATAGAGCATGGAATTTAGAACAATGCGCTATATTCAGTACTATTCGGTACATCTTTGTTTGGTGAGATACATATTCAGTCTATTGGTGGGGCTACGATGAGATTTTTACTCCTCCTGTTTATAGCGTAACAATAGCATATAACTTAAACAATATAATTGATTTTAATTTCATGCATAAGAGTTTTCTACGAAAAAAGATCCTCTATGAATCTACGCTTGTAAAATAATTTTTTATACTTTCTTCAATACGTGAATGAGACCATCCAAGAAGATCTATCTATGATTGGTACATAACATAGAAGATGACTAACACAATTGTTTAACTTTATTTGTTTTTTTGTAACAAAATACTCACACTCATTCAAATGATGATACATGAGTGATAAACTCAAGTTGTCATATTTCTATAATATATTCATAAAGTATACTATTTTAGAAAAAAAGTACTTTTTATCATAACTTGTATGAAAGTTTTCTGAAATTTACGGCATCACATGTGTGAAACATTTAGTTTTCAAAAATCAATGTTTTATGTAAAGTGATGGAAAAAAGTTTAAAAACAACGATTTTTTTTTTTGGTTCTTTTCATAATGTTAAGCACGTAGCTCCAATCCAAATAATGATTTTAATAGCGAATGGAGTTTTCTATCCAATACACTTTATAGCAAGATTCCATAGACGAATAATGATGGCAACGCTTCTAAAAAACTGAATACGGTATTTTTCAAGTTCTAGAAAGCTTTGTCAGAGCTATGTTTAAACGGTGCTATCTTAAAAATCGAAAAATTCTAAGCAAAATGAGAGGTCGTAGAAAACTGGGTGACCCCTCATTTTGCTTAGAATTTTGTGCCCTTTAAGATGACACAGTTTAAAAATAGCTCTGACAAAGCTTTCTAGAACCTAAAAAATACCGTGTTCGGTTTTTTAGGAACTTTGCCATCATTGTTCATCTGTGAAATCTTGCTATAAAGTGTATTGGATAGAAAAACTCCATTGACTATTAAAGTCATTATTTGGATTGGAGCTACGTGCTTAACATTATGAAAAAAAAAAAACAAAAAAAATCATTGTTTCTAAACTTTTTTCCATCACTTTAAAAGTGCGTATATTTTAAAACCTTAACATAAGAGAGAGATGCAATGTTCGAAATTACAAAAACTATTTATATTCGAACATACGATTTTAATTCA